CCCTTCCTTGTCTCCCCCAAAAAGCACAGCCATGTGGCGGGTGGCACCTGTGGGTGGGAAACCACCGAGCTGTGCCTCAGTTTCCCCAAGTAAGCACCCAGGAAGCTGCGTGCTGGCCTTTGCGAGGCACTCTGCAGCGTTTTAAGGCTGAATTTCCCAGCCGCTGGGGCTTTCGCTCTATGAAATGCTCTTTGCAATTTGTCCTTTCCTCATCCCCCCCGCCTTCTCGAACCGCTCCCTGCTCTTGAAATTTGAGATCGCCAAATTTAAATACTTCTTCAGCCCCCCGCGGTTCATAACAAAAATGGGGCTATTGGAGCTAACAGATACAAAGGTATGTAATAAATATGCTGGTGCATGAACAGCTCCCCGACTCGCAGGCTATTAGCACAATTTCACAGTCGTCGGGATGGTTTATTGTTGGCGTAATCCATCGTCCTATACAAAAGCGGGCGAAATGAAGTTTCCTACAGCAAAGGCATTCCTTTGAAACCTCGTTTTCCTGAGCTCTGTTTATGACACAGGGGATTTTCTGTTCCCCCTCTTTTACTTCCCTGATTCAGGGACTGAAACAATTGTTGAAAACAGGCATTTTGATAAAACAAACCCCACCATCTAACAACTTTGGCCATTTCTCCATTGATAACAATATTAATTTACCATCTCACCAAGCCATCTGCTGATGGGCAAAGCTTTCCCAGAGTCTCATCTCAACCAAATGTGTTTAGAATTAAGGAATTAAGCATCCCGTAGCATCTGCCATCTCCCCCACAACTGCCTGGCGTCTCATCTCACCCAGCAGATTGTGTTTTCTCTGTAAGACCAGATTCTTTCAACCATCGCATTGCTCCCTTCACGTCCAACACCTCACGCATTTAAACAAATCCATAGAATAGAGCCCCGCTGCCTCGCCAGCCGGCAGAGAGCTGCCAAGGAGGCGTGCGGCACGCCGAGCCGCCCTGGCAAGCGCGCGCGAGCTCGGGCGAGCTCACGGCAAATGTTCCGTGAAAGAGCTGCTGAAGACATTTTTTGTATTAATCCAACTTCATTAATTCAGCCTAACCGACACACCCGGCTAAACCACCTTTCCTCTCGCTTGTGTTTCTCATCTCTCGCTCCATCCTACGCGCTAGGTTATGTCCTGCAATTCATCGTGCATCTAACGTCAGAAACATATAGACACATGAGCTGCACGATTTTAAATGGTTGGGTTTGGTATTTATGCAAAAATATCACATTGTAAAAAAGTTTGCACGCTCATACTTTTTTTTAACTTGGAGAAAAAGCAAATGCCTCAAACTTCCGCACCTGTTGCAGGGCAGGGTGAGTAGAAAGTGGGGCTGGGCAGTGCCCTCCTGCCCAGGAGGAGGGCTGGCTGATTTTCTCATAACCAAACCCATAATAATTTTTGATAAAAAGATTTTCTGAGGGATCTGAAGATGTCTTTGCGGCACAGGTGAAGACGTAAGAAGTTGGGCTTTCCGGATGACTTTCACCCTGATGGTTTCAAAGTGACACAGTCATGCCACGCTCCTTGCCTTCCAGTCATTTTCTTGCAAAAATGATCAAAGCAAAAAAGTTGTCAGCGATCAGAGTCGCCCTGTTGCAGAGCCACGCAACAGGCAGAGCATGGCACGCAGGCTGCAAACCACATGCGAAGGAATTGATGACAGATGGAGCAGGGATATTGCACGAAGTGGCAACGCTGGGTGCACACCAGAGCCTGCCAGGCTGGAGCTGGGAGCTGAAGGAGGGCTGAGGCTGCTGCGGGTGGGTGGTCAGGAGAACCTAGGGACACTCATTACTTGTAGAATGGTTTGGGTTGGAAGAGACCTTAAAGATCATCTGGTTCCAACCCCTCTGCCATGAGCAGGGACATCTTCCACCACACCAGGTTTCTCAGAACTCCATCCAACCTGGCCTTGCGCACCACCAGAGAGACGT